CAAAAGGAACCTTCTTCGTCCAAGGCAAGCCAGTAACGGCCAGGAAAATATTTCCTTCACACAGGACAAGCCATAGCTCCAAGGCAAGCCAGTGACGGCCAGGAAAATATTTCCTTCACACAAGATAAGCTACAGCCAAAAGGAACCTTCTTCGTCTAAGGCAAGCCAGTAACGGCCAGGAAAATATTCCTTCGCACAGGATAAGCCAGCTTGTCATTCTGCCAAAGTGTAAGTTTAATTGGGGAAAGTACATAACTGATTCCTCTTGAAGAATCAGTAGACCCCAATGAAAAAACTTGCACTTCAATAAGATTACTTACTTTTTTAAATCTAATAAGCTCCCTTGCTTTCTTTATTTTTTGTTTTGAATTTGACTTCTGTAAAATTTCACTTAGGTGCCTGTGAAAGGTATGATGATTCGATAATGTTCAATGTTATTTAATGCCCACCTGTCAAAGTCAATGAGGGATCAATACTTTGACTTTTGTTCGAAATATTTGAGATATTTTTCATTATTCGGAAAGAGTGCGAAAAGGTGGGGGTATTTATATTATAAATTTCAATCAAATTCAACCCGTTTTACGCACTGATATTAACATATAATAGTTACTTGCGAAAAATTTTTATTTCCACATTAAGAATTTTTTATGATCCGATGATTAATTAATATTCTTAATATATCTAATTATCACGTAACTTCCAGTCGGATTAGTCATATAATTTATTCATTTTTTTCAAAGTGGCGCGGAAAATAGAATTTTTTATGATCCGATGATTAGTTAATATTCCTAATATGTCTAATAGTTCTAATAGTCGCGTAACTTTGTTGGAGTGATAAAAGTGATAAATAATCAAAATAATTATCTATAGATAGTCGCGTTTATTACATAATTTACTCATTTTTTTTATCAATAATGGCGCAGCAAATTTTGATTATTTTCACTCCTACCAATATTAACAAATTATATTATTTATACGAAAAGGACTTTTTTTTTAGTAATGTGTAGTAAATAAAAAAAACAATACAATTAATTTTGAGTAATATACTATCTATTTTATGTAACTCATTTATTTAATCTGTAATCTATTTGTATTTAACTTTATTTCTTATATTTTAAAGATTTATTCTTATCAAATTTTGCGCGTTTATTATGAACGAATCTAGTCAGATGATTGCGAAGTCTCATGACTCTCTTCATAAACCTTTGTATGTTCTCGAAATTCTTCCTCACCAGTTTCTTGTTCCTTTCATTGTCTTCTTATCAGTTGTAATCAAATTATTTGAGGAAGATGTGGCTTCCAAAACAGACTGACCTGCTTTTACCTTGTCGTTCAACCAATCAATGGTACCTGAATCCAAATCTATCTGTTTCTTCTGTACATCATCATTGTCTCGTAATCTCCTTACTAGTTCTACTACTTTTCGAAAATACTTCTTTATTTATCGATTGAGTTTTTGGTGTTTCTTCGTGCAAGATTTCTTGCCCATATTTATTTACCATGTCAACCACTGCATCTTTGGTAAGCTTTTCCAATATTCCTATTTTTTCCAGTTTTATTTTTTTCCCTACTAATAAAGTTATTAAAATTCTTTACTTTTTCTTGATGGAATTATCCAAACTCCATTGGGTCCTTCCTTATTTATTGAATCCGCTATTGCCTTACTCAAACCTTCCTCGTCTCTAAATTATCTTTTATATATAAGTTTCGAGGAGAAAAAATCATAACAACCATATTTTTCATCCATCAGATTCTTGTCAACATCAGGTACTTATTTATAAACGACCCATTCGAATTTTTGATAATTTCATGTTTGACAAAAACCATCTGATATGTTTTATCAAATTTAAATTGAACAGTTCATGCCCACTTCTTCTCTATATTACGTTTCTTTAAATGCATAATCGCTTTGACTGATTTATATTTATGTTGTTTTAATTCAATAAACCATAATGTTTCAAAACGAGTGCAATTTTCTCACCTGACCATCTTGCTGGAAATCATAGAATAATATTTCCAACAGATCTGATATATAAATTTCCGTGTTGATATGAAATTTGTCATCATTCTCTTGCAGTTTTGGATTTTGTTGCGCCTACGGCCTACCGCAGCCAGCTGAAGACATCCTCTTGACATTTTTAAAATTTTTATTTATAAAGTACTTAATATTTCTTAACGCTCTTTCCTCAAACTCTTCATGTCGTAGTTAGGACTCCATTTTTCACTTGTTATTACTTATATTTTATAGGGCTTCCCGTCTTTTTATTTGTCAGTTTTTTCTTACAAAATTTTGGACCGAACGATCGACAGAAGAGTTTTTTTGCCGAGTGGAAACTTGGAACTAAGCAACTATTTAATGGTCATGTATTATTTATAAACAAATCTAAATAATTGAACCCACGATACATAATTTACTCTCACTTTTTTTAAATTGGTTTGATAATTTTATAACTATATGGAACTTGTCTATTGAATAATTACTTGTCTGGGATGTGGAATGGGAAATAGTACAACTGTTGTTGATGGCAGCACCCTGGAGTAGTAATGTACTATCACGTATACGAATTTTTTGCTCAAATAACTAAATTTTAAGATCGGAATCTTCGAGTATTATAACAAGAATTTGCTGACATATTCAATTTTCTTGAGATAAAGAAAAGTATTCGCTATCAAAGTATGAAATACTTTTAGAGCAATGATTTCTTTGGAGTTTTTCATATTGCAAACTAATTGTGACCCATTTGAATAGAATGTTTGGAACATGAACCAGATAAATGGTTAGATATTCGTCAGGTAATTTCAGAACTCAATATCATTGTTTCCGACAATATATTTATCATTTTTTATTATTAAAAAAAAAGTAACAAGCGAAAAAATAGAGATTGAAGATTCTGACTTGTCCAATTGCGAAAAATATTGTGATATTTCTTAGATTAATCGTATATTCGTATATTACTTTTTATTTTCAATATAATGTCATTAATTTTATGAACTTTATTTCTAAATAGAATAAATATTTCTCTATGCAATCAGCAAAATTCTATATGTCAGAATTAATAAGATCATAAGACAATTTTCTTATCCCCCAATAACCTATTTAGCTCATTAGCATAAGATCTTTGAGATGAGACTATATTGAAGCAATTGGATAATGTTATTGGCGTTTATTGTAGATTGACGTTGCATATTGACGTTGTATATTGGATGTGCATATTGGTATGCATATTGATATACAAATTAGAGGTCTGCATTGACGGCCCGCACTTGGAAATTAACCCAAAGCGCCCGGCCCGTCTCGGCCCGGACGGACTATTATTATATCAATTTGTTGTAAAACAAAAAAATCGGCCAACTTAATTTAGCCGGTTTAATTTCAGCCAGAATTAAGGCGGTTTTGGCCAGAATTACGAAGATCCGGGTTTCCGGGTTCCGGGTCCCGTTTGCAGGCCTCTAGCACTGATTAAAAGATCACTTAACGTTACCCGTTGGCTATTATATTTTGATGGATAATCACATTTTCCGAATACAGATAATAATTGGATCGGATAAACCGGATGATGGATATCCTCAGATTGGGAAACTAGTTAGAATTATTTTTATAGATCATCCAAACATGTTATCGCATGTTATCAACAAAAAAAAAAAAACCTTACGGTAATAATATTGTAAATTGTAATAGATTAACATGGGATTTCACACTGATTTCCATCATAATGATATAAGAGAAATGAGTAAATACAACGCCAACTTTTATAAAAGGTCAAAAACAAGACTCGCATTGTAAAATTTTTTTTCTTTACGAATTTTTCTTTACAATATCCACGAATGACAAATAGAAATCTTAAACAATGTAACGATTGATATTTTGATTATTCAATATCGCAAATAAATTATTTCAAATTAATTAATTAAATAATTATTTAAAATGATTGCTTAACGTATAAATTGTTGTTTATTTAAAGATGCAATTTCCATTTGATTCAACTTTGCGTATATAAGAACAAAGTATAATAATTGGTATGAATGTACAATAATAATAAATGAAAATTCCGTGTGGTTCTTTCTATAAAACTATAACGCCCTATAAAAAATTTTTCGGAAAAATGATCGCGTGTCTGCTGAGATTCTTCGGAATAAAGACTAGAAAAATGAACATTTATCGGAGTTTTTTCCAGAATTTTTTTTATAGGAACGGCAAAGTCCAGATGTTAAAAAACTAAAGTATTTATGATAAGCAAATTTATAAATAAACGACATTTACCATAGAGATAATCAGAAAAAGAATCTGTCAATTAAAGACGTGAAAGGAATATCAATTTTTGTAAAGATTCGACCTAGGTGTAACGATAAACTGTACTGTACGAATTTCAATAGATTAATTGTACAGTACAATATAATCTTCCCTCCTTGGTGGATTTTTTTTTATTGACACATAGTACTGTAATACTATGTGAGAAGTTTTTTATGTATACCCTTAGCTTCATATCGGATTTTTTCATTATTGTTACATGTCGAACTATGTGAGAAATGCTTTTTTATGCCCATTTTGCGTTAAACGTAGATTTTTATCATCTGCATATCCCTGGGACATTTATTTAATTGATTATCCATTATATAATTTAAATATAAGGATAATTTTTACTTCATATAAAATAAATAAACTAATAAAGCGTGTTCTAAATTTAAAAATAAATATTCCTCTGATTTTTTTTGAATGCTATCAAAGCTCTTTGCTTCGTGAGTTACAACTTACAAAACACTATACTTAAAAACTAAGGTATCATTTATCCGTGATCCACCAACTATATTTGAATTTCATTATTATTGGTCCATCAACTATATTTGAATTTCATTATTATTGGTGCAATAGTCGCACTTCAAAACACCGACAAAGCCTTTTTTTATGACAAATTTTTAATCATAAAGTGCATAATGTTTTGATGCGGCTTGTATTATAACTTTAACTTCTCGAGCAAACAATTCATTTTAAGTCAGTGTTATTTTTTTTTTACATTCTATTTATCATCCTAAGTTATAAAATTACAAGTTTAGGTCTATGGGTGTTAGGCTTTCTCTCCTTTCTAATTTTGATTTAAATACATCAGGTGTTGGTTCATGTCTTACTATTAACATTAAAAACAAGTGATTAATTAGTGAAATTCAGCTGATTATTAATCAATAATCTAAAATTGGTAGATAAATTTACTTACGATAAACTCCAAGATTTTTCCCAAAATTACTATGACACCTTATGGTGTTTAATGTTGACAAAATCAGTATTATCCAAGATAATATTGTTGTCCATAAATATATGTTGAAAATTGCACCATATGTAAAACAATATTTTAAGGAATATGGTTTACTCGTTTTATAACAAAAATCAATTGTTGTAAAATACAATAAGATAACTTGAAAGATATTTCCAAAATATACAATGAACAGCATCCATTTCGATTCATCCCTTACCTAATAATATATAAAATAAAAAGTTAACAACTAATCTTTTGTTATTAAATAATCATATCTTATACTTACTCCCTTTAACATAAAATATGCATAAAATAAAATTACAAAATTTAATGGGACAAAAAAACTAATGACCCTCATACCGCGAAGTAAAAAAGTAGCAAAGAATATTGTGTACCAAATTATGTTAATTAAATACGCGTAAAGGAATATTTTCTCAGAAAATTTTAGTTTAATATAAAAAATTCGAAGAACACCTTGAAGTGTATCATACCATTTTTATAATACTGATTTTAAATATTTAAATTTTATCAAGAATTTTTTTTTCAGAGTTTAGAATTTTAGCGGATTATGTATATATAGATTTATTTTTATCAAGTATAAGTCGCAAATTTATGACTATCATATATATAATTTTTTAACAAAGATTCAGCTTCTTTGTAAAGTGTATGTAGTAATACAAGGACGTTTTGCTAATTCACGTTGTATTACGCCATTTGTGAGAAAATTTTATTAATTTTAACTACATATGAAATTAACAAACAAAAAATACATGTTTATCAAACTAGTTTTCATTGAAAACAAAAAAAATATGCTGATGATCTAATTTTTGTTACAAAGTATATTCAGCATTATTTAAAACAAAGATATCGTTTATCCATTTTATTTGAATTTCATAAGTTCCTGACAATTAGAGATATTGATAATTATTATGTATGTGCATTCAATCAATAAAATCTCTTTTCAAAAATGTAAAAAAGGAAAATAGTAGTAATGGATCATCCAACGGGTGAAAATTCAATCAGATTAAATTTTTTACATACTTCAAACATGTCGATTATCGACTTTTTAAAGTTAAAAATATCAATTATTGACTCATTTTATAGTTTGAAAATAAAGAATTTTACTACTTTATTATAAATACACGTTTCATTTCAGTGTCGCGGCAAGCTTGTTATTATATAAATAAATTACTATTGTAAAATCGCGAGCTGTTGGATGAAATTAAATATTTATCCGTAATTAATATTATTAATAACCGAAAATTTTATTAATCAACATAATTATATTTCAAACCAACGTGTTTCTGCATTTGAAACGTATTATGTTCTATTTTTAGCAAATAATTTAGTTATTAAAAAGAATTTTGTAAAAAGAAGTTTACTTTCTTTTTCTCGTATTCGTCATATGGCTGACGTAATAATGCCAAATTGAAAGTATATTTGTTACACAAAAGGTATTAAATTAAAATTTTTTATCATAAAAAATCGCCTAGTGTTCCAATCCGCGGATCATCCGTCAACCGTGATCCGAAAATCATGTGACCCAAGGAAAAATCCAAACGGTCTATCCGTCGTCTATTTTTGATTTAAATACTTTTTTTTCCTCCTCTAAACGGACATTTATAATTATACCGTTCGGCCCAGGCCAAAGTGATTTTGACTTCTGGAACGTGAATCTTAACAAGGGACTCTTCCCTTCCAATTTTCTATTTACCTCAAGAAGTATATCCAATGGACGTACCTAATAAAAAGGGGGAAATCCTACACAACGTATACAATATTTTTTTATTTATTTATAAGGGGAAAAGGAATAATGATCCGACTTCATTTGATCTCAATCCGTCATCACAACAATAGTAATTTATTTTTTTAGATTATAAAGGATTTTTATTGGGTATATCTTCCACCGGGTAAGTTATGTTACACAAACTTTTGGATGACATATATCGTGAATGTTGACAGATTGAAAGTTGGATACTACTATTGTCATATGCATACTGCCAGTAGCAGCACGATTTGAAAATAGACCGCACTGATAAAATAATACTTTTCGCAGTCCCTATAAAAAATTTTTTAGAAAATTGATCACATCGGAGTTTTTTTGGAATGAAAACTAGAAAAGTGATCATTTATCTGAATTTTCCCCAGAAAATTTTTTATATGGAATTTTCCCTGAAATGTATATTATTATTTTTTATTATAGTTTATTCTATTCTATTTCTTATTTTTATTGTATTTTATTTTGTTGTGAAAATAAAAACGCGTATTTTTATATATTAATATAAATAGTGAACTATTAAGTTTTGAAGAAGACTTTTCTATTTAATACATTATAAAAATTGACTATTTATTATAATTAATATAAAGATTTAATGTTAAGTTTCTAAAATAACATAATTTATTCAGCTTATTTTAATGAAAGAATTGGAAAGGAATTAACAACTGCCATGTTAAAAAAAAAAATCAATAAAATTAATTAAGTGAAAAGAATCATAAGAAGTATTTTATATAAATGTTTTTTTTATATTTTTTTTTTATTTTTGAAACACCCCAAAAATGTTGTACAAAATAAATTTTGACCAATAAAATTCGTCAAGTTATACGTCACCGAAAAATTCAAAGCTCGGACATGTGAGTATGTGACATAGCCAAATAACCTAAGTGACAAGTAGAGCGTGACAAATAGATTTCACGCGTTAAAAAAAAGTTGTTAATGTGAAAAATAATTAAATAATTTCACTATGATCACGTTTACGCTGTGGAAAATGTTCTCGAAGAGTTAGACGTAATATTACTATCGCAACTACTATGTGATTGAGCAAATTGCACATGCATTAAACATGAGAAAGTATCATTCCGTAATACTAACAATATTTTTTTTTCTTTTTCCATGCTAACCCTGATTTATTTTTACCATTCAAAATCACCACAAATAATAACGTAATATATCGTGAAAAAATACTTTGTCCGAACCCTTCATATATTCAGTTTTTTAAAGAATTCAATATAGAAAAGGACCAATAGTATAAATCACATTATGTGATCGATTATTAAATGGTTTAATTTATTTTGTCCAATCAAAATAATATGAATACAATCCACCGGCTAGCGCCAGTAAATAAAATTCCTGTCATTTTGTAATCGTCATACTATCGTCAAAAATGAATATTTTTGAAAATTCGCTATAAAAAGAGTCGACTGTATTAAAAGGGGGAGAACCCTAACAGTTAAATTTACTAATATATCATTACCAAACATTTTGAAAATTGCGGTGTGTAAAATTAGTCATCCGAAATTTTTTTTTCTTCATGCTTGATATGAATAATTCAGTGATATAAATTGGGAAACGAAATAGGCTAAAATCATTTTTAAGTTAGGCGCAGTACTTATTATTTTACCCTAGATCATTTTTAACTTGGTTAATTTTAATTGGTCATTATATATGTATCATTTATGCTAGGTCACGTCATATCGTCATATGACTAACTATCACATACTGTTCATATAACGACATAACGTGTCTTACGTGTCTACATAAAATGACAAAGGACAAGGTCATATTGTCAACACCGTCAAATAGAACGCATATGAATGTACAGTAAACATACTTTCTCTATTCTTAATTAAACTAATTTATTAGTAATCAAGATTTTTTCATGAATAATTTTTATGTTAGGTTATATTTGGTTAAAAATATCAATAAATTAATAAAATGAGGCGAGATTAGTTTATGTTATCAATTAAACTAATTTAAGCATATACCTTATATACCATCTAATAATCAGCCAATAAAATTTTAATATTACGATTAAATTCATATAATTCATATGTAAAAAAAAAAAAAAAATGGCGTTCAAATTCAAAAAATGCTTAATTCGAGATCCGGCTATAAATCAGTGAAAATTACTATCTAAAAATGGGGTGAAATTTTGTAGATCACTTAACAAAATTCATTTAATCGGCATTTTTGTGGATAAGATATCACTGCATTTAGTGTAACAAAATGAAAATGTTACACAATATTTTATAGCAGAAAAACCACAGCTTTCAAATGAATTATTAATTTCCTATCCAATAAAAATAAAAAAATAACTTGTCTTTGTGGCGACGGCAGATTCTTGGGAAAAAACTATTATGAACTTTCTTAATTGCCGGTTATAAATTATTCATTTTATGATTTATTATAACACAAAAGACGTTATACACTCAATAAACCTATTATTATTTCATTTTTTGCAAATTTTATGTTTTTTAATTGTTGGTAACGAATGACCTTTTAAGGCAATATCTTTATTATTATTCCTAATTTTACAAATTATTATAATTCAAAACTCTAGTTGCAGCCTCTTCACGATGCTCTCTGGTAGTTTTTGATATCCAATTTTGAATTGTGGTAACTTTTGGAAAGTCGTCTTTGTCAATCTCACCTTCCTGTGCACACTTTTCCAACTCACGTTGCATATCTTGAGAGGTATAACGGTTACTTTTATCTGCATTACCTGCCATAAAATATCCTTCTAATAGTGCTCTCACTTGATTTGTCATCCTTTTTCCTGCTCCCTTTTTACCGAATTTTGGTTCTTCTTTAGAGCCCAGCCGATTTGCAGTGGATATACTTCCTTGACATCACTAAATAACGAATAAACAAATAGGTAAGTAAATGTTCATTATCTTTGGTATAATAAATTGAGTGTAAAACATACCATCGTATAGTTTGGCTGTTTGTTACATCTACTAACACACCAACTATTCTTTCTGGTTCTATATAATATATGTTATATAATTCAAATATCAAAAACTTTGAACGAAAGCATTAATCATTGCTAATTAATCTCACCCAATTTTTTGCGTTCTACTTCTTTATTTAATTCTTTCTCTAGATTAATTACTAATTCTTCTTTATTTTCCTTTCCATTCAATTCTATTCCTCTAGATTGTAATTTTTTTACAAGAACTTGTTTTGTAAGACGTTCTGGTCAAATATCTATTACAGTAGTATCTCATTAATTACTAATACTATCCTATTGCAAGAAAGAATATGAAAAGAATAAAACTGACAAAATTGAAGGTGAAAAAGTGCAAATGGGAAATTTTGTGAAGCAATCGGTAAAGAATCAAAATAATTTCCATGATACATACATTCTGAATTAGGAGGTGGAATTTCCCAATTAGAATTTGAAATAGTAGGGGTGGATATATTTGGATTAGGGTTTTCAATTTCACGCTTTTGTAATTTTTCTAATTGCGTAGGAGTAAATGTAGTCCAAGGTCCAAGATTGGGTATAGACCGTGCCAATATACATCCCTCAAAATCTCCAGAGGTTGGCCATTGCCATTCAAACCAATTTGAATTGCCTGGCAACGTATTACTTCCACTCCCTTTATTGGTAATATTATTTATTACAATTTTGTAATAAAATGATAGATGTAATTAATAATGAAAAAAAATTTATTTTACATATTGCATTGTAATAATTTAAACAATTATAAAAATACATGATGCAAATTTTATAATTATATAATATACCAAGATCTCGATTAGGTACCAACTGAGCTACAGAAGTTCCCCAAATATCTTGAATTGCATTTTCAATATCTTTTCCTGTTTGAATATCAAATCCCAACCGAACATAACGATTTATTGCATGTGAAATCTGTTATAACAACCCAAATTAGCTTAGTGTATATATTACAAAAATACATATAATTGGATATTAATTTACCTGTGCATGATGAGAGTCTATAGCCGTTTTAGCTTCACCAGCTTCAAGAAAAACCCATTTCTTAACCTTTACATTATACCATTTTGGCCAAAAAGCCATAATCATCATTAAATCCGCATTGTGGTAATGACAACCATTATCAGACATTATAATAACAGATTCTGGTCGTGAGTCTAATGTTTCAAGAACAGCGTGAAGTGAAGTGGCCGTAAACCAAGAATCTTGTCGGGTATCTGGAGACCAATGGTCAAATGCTTGTACTTGAAGTTTGGTTGAAGTGGGTATTGTTGTATATACTAAAATAGCTAAAGTGCAATGACCAATCCTTTTTGCCAAACCAATCACTTTTTGTTTCTCGAGCAGTCTTTGGCAAAATTTTCATCTTGTAATCAACTAGAAAAAGAGCAGTCTTTTCATCTAATGCTAACAAATTGGCATTAAATTGGGAGTTCAAATAAACTTTTCTTGTTTGATGTGCAAGATAATATAACAAATGTTCCTTCATATAAAGAAGATCATTATAATTTGTTTCATTACTATGAGTTTTAATATCAGCGAAAAAGTTGAAGAATTCTTGACATTCATTACATGTTAATGTGTGAGATTCTGTGCATTGGTTAAAAGCATAAAGTAAACAATGGTTTATACATAGATCGTGGGAAGTCTTGCCATTTGAAGTTACATGAAAATGTTGTTCATAATCACGTTTTAAAAATCTTTTCAGATTTTCACAGCGTACTATTAGTTGTTTCTAATGTTAAAAAGGAAAAGTTTAGTTTTACTAATAATTTAGTATTTCATATTTAAATTTACTAAATTACTAATAAATCAAATAAATAAATACCTGTATATAAGATTGTGTAATATACTTGTTAATGTATTCAATAAGATCTGAAAAAATTTCATATCCATATTTTTGACAGGTTAAACACAAACCACCCAAATTTTCACGATAAATATATTTATTTCCTTCCAGCTTGGTAAAAAATGTTGTTCGTTGAATTCCATCTGGATATTGTTCATGATATTTTTTCCAAAGTGCTGTTTTTGTTTGCTTAAGATAATGCACAGGTTCATTAGTTGCTGCATCTGTTTTATATGAACTCATTACGACATGTGCTTTATCCATTAAAAAAGCCTGTTATTGTTCTTGCATCTCATTTGATAATTTTTCACGTGTTATTACAGGTTTATTCCAAATTTGACTACCAGCACCATGTATGAGAGCATGATTTCGTGCATAATGAATTGCATCATTTGATACCTAAAAAAATTTACATTAGTAATTATTGATAATCAAAAAACCAGTCAAAAGCGCAAATTACTTACATTCAAATTACTTTTAATTTCCTCGTAAGGAAATTTTTTAGCAATGATAGATAAAATATGAGTTTTTCCATCATACCCATTTTTGTTAATATTTACTGCCTCCCAAAATGAATCCCAAAAAATCTC